CCTGAGTTCATCAGATATTCCTTGTAAAACCACCGGTTTTTGAATAACTCCATTAATTCCCATCTGCAAGCATCTTTCCCACACATCTGCATCCCCACTGGCTGTTAAAGCCACAATCAATGGCCAATTCCGGCTGCGAGACTTCCGGATTCTTGCTGCCACCTCAAACCCATCAACATCAGACATATGAAGATCCAAAAGTACGATTTGGTACGATGATACGGGCTGGTTTAGTGCCATGATGCAGTCGGAACCACTGGCGACGGTTGACACAATGCAGCCGAGTTTTTCGAGTTGTTTACGGGTGACGGCTCGGTTCATGTCGTCTTCATCGGCTAGCAGGACTTGAAGATTCCGGAATATAGAGTTGGATAGCGGGTTGTGGTCTGATGATTCACCGGTTTCGGAGATTCCGATTACAATCGATGGTCGGAGTTGGAATCGGAGAATGAGTGACATTGCTTGATCGAATCCGACCGGATTTGGAACTACCCAAATCTTTCCTTGCATCATCTGCTTAAAACAATTCAAAAAAGAAAATACAAATCATGTAACATTATTCTTGATCTTTGTGGGAAAGACACAAATGTCCTCCTCATCCTTATCCTCCAAAATAGCTCGTCTAATACAATCCCATGAAAAAGATAGAACTAGACGAATTTTCTAAGGCTATTTTCAATGATAAGGGTATTCACATCTTTTGTACACATTGGGAGCAATCCCACTCCCACCTTTTTGGATAGCGCAAAAAATTGCAATTTTGTCCAATTATATCGGTTTCAGTCATAGTCCAATGCACCTAAAACTAGACGAAAGTTTGGCATAGACATATGTTAATGGGTTAAAAATTGCATTTTTGTATCCCATCATGTTCCAAATTTTTGGGTTTACAAAATATAGAAATTTTCTCTCTTAAGTTTTAGTCTCAGTCCAATACACGCAAAATGTAAAATAACATATATGTTCTGTCATGTCATGTCTTGTCCAGACAAACAAAATAGGAACACAAAAGAAAAGAAAAGAACAAACCTCAACAAGCTTTCGGCACATTCCAAAGCTCAAACTTTGCTCAACTCCACCACTACGAATTCTCTCATCAGCAAACGACCGTTCCAATTTCGTATCATGATCGTTGATCCCGATTTCAAACTTCACACTGACATAACCATCACCCGAATTCGATCTCCAACTTGCCCACCGTTGATCATTCCTCCCATAACTTCCACTCTCTTTCAAAATTCTCAACACCATTCCCCCTCCACCATTCCCCCGATTCAAAAGATTCCCAACCATATGCAAAATCACCTGAAAAACCCGCCTCTCATCTCCCATAACATTATCCGGTAAAGATTTATCAACATCCAATACAAATTCATACCCTTTATAAACACACAAACACTTTGCAAGATGTGCAGCTTCTTTTATCAAAGAATGAAGCCGAAAGGACCTCATTTCTAACGGGAATCTTTCTTTCGATGAATCATCCATGACATCATCGATCAACATCGAAAGTACATTGCTTGTTTTCACCATTGAATCGATAAGAACCTTTTGTTGGTTCATTAGATTATCATCTTGTATAAGGGAAAGCAAACCCACGATTGAATGCATAGGTTTTCTCAAACTTTTGCTCATTACAGTTTGAAACAAGCTCCTTGCTTGACTAGCTCTCATGGCGTCATGTTTAGCTTGTTGTAAAGCTCTATTTTGTTCTGCTAATTTGTCTCTCATGAGCTGAGATTCTTCAAGCACCGCCGCATGGGAAAGAGCCACCGCCACCTGGTCAGCCACTACTTTGACTATCTCGAGCTCCGGACCAGTCCAAGATCGAATTTGACCTCCGGGAAGAACCAAAACAAGAATCGCGTAACATGCTTGAATCATTTCAGGGGTCCCACCTTTGAAATCGGAAACCCTAAGCATCGGCATTCGAATTGCCGCCACCGCTCCAGGTGGTTCTGGCCCACCACTACTTAGGGTTCCGAGCTCTGATTCATGGTCTAAAAGCTTTACCCCTTCGCTCTGTTTAATTTCTTGAACGTCGGGATTTTGAATTGGAATAATCGTCGACGATTGCCCCCCTTTTAGCTGATGGGTTAGATTCATCACCGTTTTCGTATTATCCGGCATCCAAATCGCGCAATTCTGTAAATCCAAAATTTCCGATAATTTATCGAGAGTGGTGTAGAGAATCGTGTGTCGATCGAGTGATTTTCGGATTTCTTGTGTCAGCATACGAACATGCCACCCGGCTTCTTTTTGTTTCTTGATCATACCCATTTCTACACCCAGATCCCATGTTTTTTTCCTCAACATAAACTCTCGAACTTTCACTTTCAGAAGCAAAGGGATGAGAGTGACTAAAGTTATGGCGGTTGCAAAGGAAACCAAAGCTGTAAGGAACTTGAAAATGGTGAGAGCGAGCATGAGCTGAAACGGGTGTGGTTCGTAGGTCCACCCATTTAACAAATGGGTCATTCCACAGAGAACAATGAAGGCGATGAATTGAAAGAGAACCCATTTGAAGGGGACGTTTGAACAGCTTACGAAGTATAGAAGCTCGATTGGAATTGAGAAATAAGCAACTGCGATTAAGAAATCGCTTACTCTTTGTGTTTCCATGATGTTTCTGTACCCGAAGAACCCTTCCACTTCGCAATTACACCCTCCGAATCCGTTTTCAGACCCGTCGTCATCGATGGCAAGAACGCCGACCAGAAGCAATGAAATCAACCCGAGAGATGCTAATGTTTTCGACATTGCATCCGTCGAATTGATTCTTCAATCCATGTATTGATAAGGGTTTGAAAATTTGAATCTTTTTTGTTTGTTAATTGAACGAATTTGACATCACGAGCTACAGGTTTATAGGATCAACATAATCCTGTAGAAAAAGAAAAATTATAAATTGGTTATTAAAAAAATAGAAAGAAAGGGAATTGATAAAATAATATGACAGTAAACCCCACTTGAATGACATTCATGCATGTTCCCAACTTGCTATTCAACAGATTGCAGAAACTTAAATCAATCAGAACCCTTTTCAGAAGAATCAGAAGATCAAATAAAATTTAATCAGCAGGACACAAATCTAACCGTTCATCTGCTGTATCAGCTCAATGAAATTTGACTGTTCGTCGAGTATCAAAACACGATAAAGAAGAAAGAGAGAAATCGGAATGAATAGTTTATAAGCAAATTAAGTAAAAGGGTTAAAGAAATGACTCAATTTCAGAAAAACCCACATGAAATCAATCGAAAAATCAACAATGTATGACGGAGAAAACGAGCTTTACCTTTACCTTGCAAGAACACGTCAAGGAACACCGCCATTAAAACCCGGATTTCTCTTTTCTTCAGATCAGATCTTTAGAGAATCAACAAACATACAGAAATCAAAATCAATCTCCCGAATAGAACACTTGTTAGAATTCCTGAAGATATATATATATTCAACACGAAGTCTTCATCTATCGCTCTCACTTCCACATCAATCAATTTCAGTGCAACATAAATACACAAGTTCTTTAAAAACACCCAACCGATAAAAACTTGTGCGTGATCCAATCTTTTGAGGCAAATAAAGAAAACCACTTTGAATCTTTACACACAAGTTGTGCAAAATCGGTATACGTATTATTTATAGGTAAGTTTCTCGGTTTTTTCACCTTCTTCAAGCTCCCCCCTATTTATTTCCTTTTGTGTACTGAAATTTCAAAACTGATGTGCCTTTGGGGGAAACGTGCTTTTCGAGAGAGAGAAAGAGAAAGAGCTGTTTTGGTTTAAGATTTGTCCGCGCCGTTGTTTGCCAAAGGAGAGAGAGAGAGAGACGGCCGAGCTGGAAAACCAAGGTTTTTATAAAAGCTTTTAAAGAAAATTTTAAAGATTTTACCTACCATTTTATAAAATTGCATTTTATTAAAAATTATACGAAAATTCGTGCAATTGAGTATAAGTATTTTATATCGTTAGATTTTAGTAATTAACTAATTATAGCAATTGAAAATAGTTATGTTAGTCATTTTAATTATGAAATATTTATGGAATTTTGATTCTTGTATCAAATTGATATCTAAAATTGTGATTTTTTCAATAATATTATAAAGTAATGTTTTATTAAAATCATAACTTTTGATGGGTTTTTATTATGATTTGTATGTGAATAAACTAAATATGTTTTTTTATTATCATTATTTAGGTTTAATATTATAATTAATTAATTTAGGAATTTTTTTTTTTTACTATTTTAGTGTCGATCATATATTAACAATTGTTGTAAGGTAATACAATACAATTTATAATTTTATTTTACTTTTAACAGTTATTATTATTAATTAATTTAAAACTACTTAATTAAAAAAATCAGTTATTATAAACATTAATTTTTGAAAATTTTTAGTTAATTTGATATATAACGGTTTAAGTATTATATTTAAACCAATAACCATTTTTGCTATTTAAAAAATTGACTATTTTTTAAGTTTATTAGATATTTTTAATTAAGTTTGTATTTAATATTATATTTAAGTTGATAAATTAAGTATATTATATTCATAATTTAAACAACTTACTAATATATAATTTTTTATATTTAATAATATATTTAAGTTAATAAGTTAAATATATTATAGTATATGTTAAAAAGAAATGACTTTACACCATTGATATTAACTACAGTAATAATTTCCAAAATTACAAAAATTGTTCTTGTGGGTGTCAAAATTATTTGGTTTCGAAACAAAAAAATTTAATGGTACATGAGTGGTCTCGTTTTAGATACCTTGTGTGGTTTTGGTTCCTATTTTGACATTTTTTTTTTGGTTTTGGTCGATGCTCAACCTAAATTGACTAATATTCCCCTTTAATATTTTTTTTTTATTTTTTAATTTCTTTTATTATTCTTTTAAGACATCTTAATTTAAAAAAAAATCAAAAAGAAAATTTCACCCCTACCCTTCTCTATTTCCATATCTCTCCCAAAAAGAAAATTCAACCAACGAAAACACTCATGGAGCCTTACTCGTCGTTGTTACTTCATCTCATACTTCAATTCGTCTACTCCATCCGGGCACAAGGAGATCCCGTCGCGTTAGTTATGGATAGGGATTTTCTCCACTAACACAAGAACACAAGGCACACACGATTTCAGATTCTATTTATGAGATGATTTTAGCTACGCTTTGATTCAGCATCATTGTCTACTTCTTTAATTACGTTAACCCTAAACCCATAAATGATATAAATACATGTATATGAAATTAATTTTTAGAATCAATTTTTCTTGGAAGCCCATAAGCTTTTTTCAAAGAGTTATCTCGGTGGTGATGTTTGTTTCGGGCTAAAACATGTTGTGGTGTTCTTACCTATAAATAAAAACCCTTTCGTTTTCTCAGGCTACGACAGCTCTGAAAAACCCTAGAAGGGAGAGAGAGAGAGAGAGAGAGAGAGAGAGAGAGAGAAGGGGTGAAAATGGGTTTCTTGAAAACAGAGGAGAGAGAGAGAGAGAGAGAGAGAGAGAGAGAGGGTGAGCCTTTTTTAATGTTAAGTAGTAAAAAACAATAACATAAATAAAAATAATAAATAAATAAAAAGGGTATACTTTAAGTCTATAGGGACCAAAATCATTAAAAATATCCAAAATCCTCACCTCCGATGCACCACTAACCTTTTTTAGACAAAAATCACATAATTTTAAAAACCATAGCGACCATTTTTGCAATTTGTCACAATAATTTGACAAAACTGCAATAATTGTCCTTTTGGTTAGTTGAAAGTTATCACTTTGGTCCAAAAAAGTTTGGACTAGCACCAGAGGTCCAAACCTTTCGTTTTGTTGTGAGTTTGGCCCTTCGTATTTTGAATTTTTCTAAAATGAATTTTGCCCTTACTTTCTTTTTCATTTTTTTGTTTATATAAATAACATTCTGATTAAAAATATTTAAAAAAAGTTATATTTTCTATTTTATTTTTATAATTTTTTATAACATAAATAAAAAAATACCTTTTCTCTCTGTCTCTCTCTCTCTCTCTCTCTAAACCTGAAATAAAGTCATGTAACACCCTGATTCCTGGATGTAGGACTTGGAGATTTTGTGCAAGTTGAAGGGGCTACTCGACGAGTTGGTTGGCCCAACTCGTCGTGTAGGAGTTGATCTGGACCCGCGAGTTATGAAACCTACTCGTCGAGTTGGAGAGTTGGACTCGACGAGTTGAGGTTGTTTAGAGAAAACCCTAATTATTCGGGTTTGCATCCTATTTAAAGGACTTTAACTCCTCTACCCTGCCTCCCTCATCACCCTATCATGTCCAGAGAGAGAGAAACCCTAGTGAGTTAGCCCATATTTTGAGTGTGTGAAGCCAAAAGTGTGCATTCTTGGAGGAAGCTTGAAGAGTGAAGAGCTTGGAACAAGAAAGAGTCTTTAGATCCAACATTCATATAGTTGTAGCATCTATTTGGAGGTAAAAAGTCCTTACCTTGGCTTTCCATTCCTTAGATCTCTTCTTATGTGAGTTTATGGGCTTTTGGTGCAACACGAGGGTCATTCTCGAGTTAAGCTTGACCAGGGGGTATGAGTTTCAGATCTGGACTTCTCTAGGTCCCATGTACATAAAGCTTCAAGCTTTGACCCGTCTTCATGTCCTAAACCCCTTATTGAGCTTAGTTTTGGGTGATTTAGTTTTGTGAGGCCTTGCATGATCGTAAAGTTAGAAACTTTACGTAGTAACTCCATCCTAGGAGGTTGGATCTGGAGTTTGGAGCATTGGAATTGGCTGGAATGAGTTTAATGAGAAAGGGCTGAGGAACTCGACGAGTTGGGCATCCAACTCGATAAGTTGAGTTGGGTTTTCTCGTTTCTGGATTCAGACTGAACTCGACGAGTTGATGAGACAACTCGACGAGTGGTTAGGGTTTTTCCCCGGTCTTCTGGACTCTGCATGGACTCGACGAGTTGGCTAGCAACTCGGCGAGTACTCGGGTTTTTGTGATTTCTGAGTACTGAGGACTCGACGAGTTCATGAGTTGCACTCGACGAGTTGAGTTAACATGGACTGTTGAATTGAGTGTTGACTTCTGTTGACTTTTAGGGTTGGGTCAAGTTGTAAACTTTGGAGAACATGGAGGGGTAAAATGGTCTTTCACCCTTTTCAGAGATTTAGTAGAGGAGTTAGCTTAACGTTTTATATAATTGTTAAGTAGAGATGATTGTGATATGTGTAGGCGGAGTCTAGACCAGCAGTTCGAGTGTGTGATATATTGCTTTACTCTGCGAGGTGAGTCTTCTCACTATACTTACCGGAGTGGTAATACTGTGTGACCGAGGGTCTTATTGAGTTATTGACCGGAGGGTCTTATGTGCTTATACTGAGTTATGTGATATCATTCATTTTGTCTTTGTTATTTATGTTGTATATTATTTATGTGCTTTATTGAGTTAGGACCGGAGGGTCCAAACAGAGTTGTGAGACCGGAGGGTCTTCACTGAGGCACATTGACCGGAGGGTCCTTATCGAGATATACCATGAGAGGCTAATTATTTGTGTGTGGTATTTTGGGGAACTCACTAAGCTTCGTGCTTACAGTGTTGTGTG